CCTGAATTTAGCTCACAGATGTGACTCAGACATGTGCCCTCCACGGGGGTTAGGCTGAAACTAAACTTCATTTTTGAACATTCATTAACTAATTTTTTTCATTAGTTCATGTAAAAAAATCATTCCCTCCCTTGTGCTTCTTCCATGAGTCCTTCTGCTGTGTGGTAGGTTGAGGGTAATGAATCACACAGGGAACTTGTCAGGGGTGCTGATGGGCATCTGTGTTCCTAAGAAAGCCTGGCAGCAGGATGGCACAGGCTGAGAGTGCTGCTGCTAATGATTCCTGCTCAGAGGTGACAATGTCCACCCTTGCTGCAGCCTTTTTGTTGTACAACTTGTACCTGAAATGTTCCCAAAAAATCTGGGCTCTGTTCTTGGAGCAGAGAAGCTCAGATTGCTGCCAGACCTCTGAAAGGTTTTATGGGAAGACACATTGTCAGAAGCTGGACCCACATGGGAAAGAAAAGAGGAGTTTTGGCCCTGCCTTCAAGGACTCAGCATTGCTTTTAGCCTTACTGAAATGAGTCTAGGTATTGTTACTGTGGTAATCACCCTCCTCCCAAATGAGATTGCATCTTAGTTATATCTAAAGGGAAGGTAAATTGTTTACAAAAACTCCATTCATAATATAAATGTAAATGTTTCCTCCCATTTTTCAAGTTAAATCAGAGTTCCAGGAGAGGGAAGCTTCACAGCAGGAAAAGTGCTTGGTTAATGTCAATTTGACTTCATGGTATTTTCAAGGCCTGTTTTACTCGTTTGCATTTAGATAAGAATCTGACATCTGGATTTTTGCCCCAGACTTATACAAATCCCTTGGGTGGGGGGGGGAGAGAGTAAATATATTATGGTGTTGATAAGTGCTGCCACTTTCTGCAGTGTAAATTAACTGTTGCTGAGTTTATCCTTTGAAAAAAAATTAAAAGCTTGTAAAATCTTTCCTTCTCTTCTGTAAAAGAAATAGGGACACAGAGATTAAGCATTAAATGGAGAGTGTGCTGTTGGGCAGTAATTGACAGCAGGAATCCTGCCTGCTCCATCCAATCCTCTCTGTTTGTTTAAGCTTCAAATGTGCTTGTTTAGAGGTCCCACACTTCTGAAATGGTGGAAAGACAATGACAGCCACACATTTCACTGTCTGGCAAGAAGTGTCTTTTCTCTGCAGTGTTTAAAGGCCAGACTGCCCAAGCAGTGGCTCTGAAAAATTGAGAGGGGTGTGCCCTCAGGTAGGAATGGCATCCAAAGTTCAGCCTCTACCCTTGCTGCCCTGCAGGGCAGATCCCAGGGCTGGGGAAAGGGAGAGGAGCCTCCCACCCTGCTTTGGAGCTGCAGGGGGTGCCTTGACCCTGAAATTTGCTGGAGCTGGGTGTGATCCCAGTGGAGCCTCACGCCAGTCACTCCCTGTTTTTCTCCTGGTACCTTGAGAAGTTGGAGTTTATGGTGTGCATCCCCTTTGCAGGTGCACAAGAGTGACTGCACCACACTGAGTGTTCTGGAGCCAGGAGGGAACTTTGCTGCAGTGCCAGGCTTCTGGTGTGCACCCCATGCCACCAACACAGCAAACTCCCTGGGGTCCAGCACCACCCCACTGCTGCTGTCCCCTCTCCCTGCTCTGTCACACTTGTGGCTTTTGTGCAGCAGCCAAGCCACTCCGGCAGCCTCCCAGCGAGCTGACAGCTCTGTTGGAGGGGGAAGCTCTGTTCTGCTGGATCCCCTGCCCATGGGAAGCTGCAGTCACTGATGTGCTTTGCCCTGCAGATCACCAGTGCTGCAGAAACAGAAGCAGTCACCTCCCAGAAGCTGGTGAAGGGACACGCGTACTCGGTCACCGGGGCAGAGCAGGTACGTGTGCCACCCCAAGGTGCAGCAGGGTCTGTGTGGGGCAGCCACAAACCCATCTTCTTCAACACTGCAAATTCCTAAGTGTCACCCATTTTGCTGTATTGGGTTTTGAGTCCCTTGTTTCTGAAGGAATGCTTGATTAGTTGGCATGTTTTGGATAAACACAGATTTGCCTTCTTGGGTGTTTGACCAAAAAACAATCCCCTCTTATTCCATGAGCATGGCTAATTCCCACTGAGCAGGGTGGTGGGCCATGTATTATTGTCCCTGAAGTGGCTGCTGAACAGCACCTTTCAGCTGGGCTTGGTGTCCAAGCACAAGGGACCTGCCCAAGAGTGGGTGACTGGTGAAGGCAAGACAAAACAAAGGAAGCAGATCATGGCATCCTTCCATGAGTGCAGTGGGTTTTTGCTTAGTTCACTGGTAATTGTTTCTGAAGTGCTCTTTGAAAGCTCAGGGTGAGGTGTAGGGAGCTGCTGACATGCTGTGCTGGTTTGTGGGTGTGCATTCGGTCTTCTTCTCACAGCAAAAGCAGGGAAGAGGGAGTTTGTTCACCTTAATTCACAAGTGGGCATGATCTATCCAGGCTGCTCCTTTGGAGATCTGTGCAGACTCTGTAAGGATCTTTCATCTGGGGTGTCATCTCTGGACTGCAGAGACCTGCAGATGACAAGAGGAGGGGCTGAGGCTGCTGCTCTGTGGGGCATTGGTGTGATCAGAGTGGTTGTGGCAGTCTGAGTGTCCTGGCTCCTCTAACATATAAGCAGGGGAGTAAAAAGGCATTTGAATGTGAAGAGACAATTTATACCTTAGTGATGACTTTCGAGAAATATCTCTGTACCTGCTTTTTTGGCTTTTGTATAGCAGTTTTACATTCCCTTTGCTTGTAAGCCTACCAAATGTGATCTTTTAAGTAGCACAAATCAGACATTTTGGTTTTCATGGGCTTTGGTTTGTGCATGCTGTAAAACTTCTCTGGACAAGCCTTGCTGTGTGAAGCTCCCTCAGAACCAGTTGGGCTTTTGTCTTTTGGCCCAAATGTGTGCATGTTGTCATGCCTAGCACCAAAATACTTGCTCTGTCATGTTTTTAATTACTGGAGAGGATGAGGGAGGGAGTGTGGTGCTGAGTCCCTGGTGCCTCTCCATCCACTTCTGATCCCACCAGGTGAATTTCCGAGGAACCGTGCAGAAACTGATCAGAATCCGAAATCCCTGGGGAGAAGTGGAGTGGACTGGGAAATGGAATGACAAGTGAGTCAATGGCTTCCTTGTTGCCAATAGCCCTTTACTGCAGGGCTGCAGTTGTGTTTCTGTGCTTTTCTGTCTGTTCCCTGCCTGAAAAATCCTCTGTAAGTCCTGTCTGGATGTGGTGTTCACATGGAACTGTGTCAGAGAGAAGCATCCCCTCGCTGTCATCCCCCTGGTAGCCATCACAGTGTGTGGTGCCTTTCATGCAAATTCCAGCCTTTGTGTAAGATGCAGATATTTGGTTGGTGTATCCTAGAAAGCTCCCTGTAGTTTCTGCTTATTTAACCACCTGGATTCAGTGGTGAGCTTCTGAAAATTCACTTTCTAAAAGGACTTTAAAAGTCCATTTCTGCTATTAGCCATGAAAGCTGGAGTTTACTCACTTCTGTGGCTGGGCAGATTTTATTCTGACTCTTCCTTTTTCTGTCTTAGTCCAGACATTGCATTTTTCTAAAAATAACACTCTGTTTCTCATCCTTTACCTTGGATATTTGAGAAGTGAGGTATTTTATGCACCAGGTGCATCTATTTTTAATTCTGCAGCGATTTGAGAATTCTAGAACTGCTAAAAGTTAGATCTTGTGCCAGAACAGCCACATGAGAGTTTCACCTTTCCCATGGGCTGTGGTTGATGTGGGGTTCTCTTCCAGCTGCCCAAACTGGAGTGGTGTTGACCCTGAGGTGCGGGAGCGACTGACCAGGAGGCACGAGGATGGGGAATTTTGGTGAGTGTCACATTCCAGCAGAAGGGAATTGTATTTGTGGGATGCCCTGTGGCATCTGACTCCATGTTCTTAGAAGGCAAATTTATTGTTTTATGATATTAGAATATATTAAAGAATACTATAGTAAAGAATACAGAAAAGATACTTACAGAAGGCTAAAAAGATAATAATGAAAACTCGTGACTCTTTCCAGAGTCACAACACAGCTTGGCACTGATTGGCCAAAGAGTGAAAACAACTCACACCAGAATCCAATGAAACAATCACCTGTGGGTAAACAATCCCCAAACACATTGCACGTGAGCCCAACACAGGAGAAGCAAATTAGATAATTATTGTTTTCATTTTTCTCTGAGGCTTCCAGCTTCCCAGGAGAAAAATCCTAGGCAAAGAGATTTTCCAGAAAATATGATGGTGACAGGGAATGTCAGCTGCTCTGTTTTCATTCATGCATAACAAGCTCTCCCAGTTTGCTCTCCAAGATGAGTGTGCAAATTCACCCCAAGCCCTGGTGCTGAATCCCAGTGGCAGGGAGGGAGGATGGACAAGGCGGTGGGATGCAAAACCCTGCTGAGGAGAGGTTGCCAGTGGCATTTCTCCCACAGGATGGCGTTCAATGACTTTCTGAGGCATTACTCCCGCCTGGAGATCTGCAACCTGACCCCAGACACCCTGGCAAGTGACAGGTACAAAAAGTGGAGCCTGCAGAAGCTGGATGGCAACTGGAGGAGAGGAGCCACTGCAGGGGGCTGCAGGAACTACCCAAGTAAGAAAATCTGGAAAACTTTTACTTGTGTGCCTGTACTTTCTCTGGGAGCTTTCAGGAGATGGTTTGGGATGGCTTGTGGGATATCTAAGACTAACCTCCAGAAAGTGTGGGAAATGTGGCTCCTTGATGAGGGTCTGTTGTGGTTGTGAAGTCTGGGGTGGGGGTGGGCAGGGCAGTGCATTGATTTTCTCTTCTCACAGCTGATTTTGGCAGTCAGAGCCACATCTGTCACCTCTAACATGTTTAAATATAATCGCAGTTGCTATCAAAGAAGCCTCTGAGTAGTTTGCTTAAATCCACTTCCTAGACACATTCTGGACGAATCCTCAGTATTTGATCAAGCTGGAGGAAGAAGATGAGGACCCTGATGATCCTGAGGGGGGCTGCACTTTCCTCATTGGGCTGATCCAGAAGCACCGTCGCAAGCAGAGGAAGATGGGCGAGGACATGCACACCATTGGCTTTGCCATTTACGAGGCAAGGAAGGCTGACAGGACTGGGGAGGAAAAGGGGAAATCTAATTTAGTCTATCCCATAAATGGGATAATGCAGTTCCCAGGCTGAGCTTTCCATCAGAACTCAGCTGGGCTGAGTTGGACAGCAGCTGCAGCAAGGAGGCTGTAAAGAAACAAAAAGCTGCATTGTGCTTGCTTAGCCCCTGCCTCCTTTCCTGCTGATGGAAAGGTCAGAGAGCCAGGAGTGAGAAAGAGGAGATGGGGAGGAATAGTAGACAAATTGAGCCTCAATAACAATCCTGGTGGCTGCAGGGAGGAGATTCAGCAGGAAGCCACAACCAGCCTGGCTGTGGCTGTGCCCAGGCTGCCCCAGGTGAGCCTCACCTGCCTCGGGGATGGAGCTGGGAGCTGAGCCAGCACTTGGCCTTGGGTGGTGTGGGCTCAACACCTACCTTCCTCTCAAGCCAAGTCTTTTTTTTTCTTTTCTCTTTTTTTCCCCCAAGAATGTGGGTGTCCTTGCCAAATAATGGTGATAAGGAGATGGAGATGCCATTCACCATTCAAGCAGCAAATAACTCTGTCCTTTTCTCCCTGCAGGTGCCCCCAGAGGTATGTGCCATGGGTTGGTGGTCAAGGTGCAGAGCTGGGGCTCAGTGGCTGGTGGGAAGAAGAGGTTCAGAGGACCCCACTTCCCTGCAGGACAGCATGATTGCACAGAGTCTACAGCTGGAGGCCACTGATTCTGGAAGGGGCCTTGAGCCCACGTTGCATTTTTAGAGTGTCCTGTATTGGGATAAGAGCGTTCAGTGCTGCAAAAACTCCCCAGAGCAACTCTTCTGTGGCTCTCCTCTCAGCCCAGCCCCACACTTGCTCCCCCAGAGCACAGCTGCTTTTTCCAGGTTGGCACAGATTTCATGTTTGACTCGTGAATAATATTCCAATGAGGTGTTGATATTCATTTCCCTAAGCAGCACCTCTTTTGGTTTCTCTCCATTTCTACCTGCAGGCAGCCAACAGCGCACCCTGGGGGTCACAGAGGGTGGCAATGCAGCAATGCCTCTGAGCTGTTGCTCCTCAGAGGAAGGACTGAAGCTCAGCAGAACCCCTGGGTAACCCCACACTGGGTTTTGCTGTCCCTGTGAGGGTCTGTGTGAAGCAGCTGGGGCATCCTGTGCCTCCTGAGGCTGTGCCCAAACCAGTGGCTTTTATGTAAAGTATGGTTTCATCAGGAAAAGAAATGGTGCTGCTGGTTAATTAAATTTTTTACATACTTTTTAAATGCCTTAGCAGTACTCTGTCACTCACCCTAGTTGCCCAAATAGTTCCATAAGAAAACTGATTCTCACTCTTCTTTACCCCAGAAGGTGAAGTTTTATCTCCCGCTATGCAGCAGGTCTAACAGGTTTTTCAAATTTTTTCTTCATTCTTAAAAATCTGGGAGGACAGGAAGGAGGAGGTTTCTGAAAGATGCACATTCCTGAAGCTGGTTTCTAGAGCTGAAGCAGCTCACCTGTAAGACTCTGCAAAACTAGTTCATTCTTGAAGATCACAGAATCACAGAATGGTTTGGATTGGAAAGGACCTTAAAGATCACCCAATTCCAACCCCCTGCCATGGGCAGGGACACCTTTCACTAGATGTTTCAGTCCAAATATCATTTTATTTCATTATTCTGGTTTTTTTTTTTTTTATTATTTTTGGACCTGGGAGGCATAGCTGAGCTGCAGGTGGCACCACCTCTGTGGACCAGAGGGACATGGCTCATGTGCCATCTCAATTTAAAGAAAAATGATTGGTGGAAGAACGTGCCCAATGTCTTCAGCCACCCATCATCATCTGCAAAACAAAAGCATGACCTGAATGATTTATTGCAATGATCTGCAAAATACATTTGCAGCCACATCTCAGGAGTCCCACTCCCTTTCTCTTCTTTCTCAGTTCTGTCAAGCTGACATCTTTTATATTTCCTTTTCACCAGACATGCCTAAGCTATTTTAAATTTGTAAACGTGAACACATGCAGACTTGGGTTTGTTTTTTTCACCCTTTCTTTGCTTTTCCTAAGTTTTCTGGCCAGACAAATATTCATCTGAGCAAAAACTTCTTCCTGACCAACAAAGCCCGGGAAAAATCCAATACCTTCATCAACCTCCGGGAGGTGCTGAACCGCTTCAAGCTGCCTGCAGGGGAATACATCATCGTGCCCTCCACCTTTGAGCCCGACAAGAACGGAGACTTCTGCCTCAGGGTCTTCTCTGAAAAAAATGCAAACTCCACGTGGGTAGCTTGTGGTGACCATATTACAGCAGTGGGTACATGGGGGAGATAATTTATTTACTTTTTTATTATTATTTAATATTGTTATATTTTATTAATTTTATTTTTTATTTTTTTAAATTTTATTTTTATTGCTATTGTTATCCCAATTCCTATTTAATTAAAATTAAAAGGCTTAGACATGTCACATCTTGAAGAGCAGCTGGGCTAAAGCCTGAGGAAGGGCTGTGGGCTCTTTTGGATTGAGTTACCCTGATTCAAAGCAAGCAGAAAACTTCCTCTGTCCTGTAATATTTTGCTGCATATTCCTGCAGCAGTGGGAAACCCAGGGTGTTTGCTGGATTGAATAATTCATTATTCAGCTTTTGATGGACCCTTAGGAGTTCTTGGGTACCATCTGTAGGTCTGCTGCTCTCTCAGCATGAGACACATCAGAATTACTTTAGGGCTCTCACTTTTTTGCTGTTTTAAAGAAGAAATGACTAGATAAAGTTTGATTTGTCCCCAAGAACCTGGTCCTGTGCTAAGGAGGCAAAAAAAGACCCAAAGAGTTGTGTGAGCCCCAAAATCCTGTCTGTGGCACTACAACTTGTAGTGTCTTTTCAAACTATTGTTGCCACAGCTGGCAAAATACAACTTTCTCTGTGCTATGCTGTGTCCATAGCTAATTAATCCAGTAATTTTTTTGAATGCTCATTGTTATTTCCATATTTTAAAGAATCTCCCTTTAACTGAAGCTTGAACGAAAAACATCATAAACATGACTTGTTTTGATTTTAATATTGATTTCTTCCTCCTTCTAGGGTGATAGATGATGAAATTGAAGGCAATTTTGATGAGGTACATCAAATGAAATGTTTTCAATTGAGATAATTTTGTTGTAATGGAGGAGTTGCAGTGCCTGTGCAGGGTGATGTTTTCTATAGGCATTATCAAGAAATGCTGTCCCACTATGGAAAAATGGGAAAATATCTTTCAATATCCATATCTGGATGTCAAGCAAATGGAAGTATCCTCAGGAATATAATGGAAACAAGGGTTGTCCTTTATGTAGAACTTGGACTTCCCAGGCAGAGGTACATCTCAAGAGTTAACTGGAGGCACAGGAAATTCTCTTTGTTCTCCAGGACTCCAGGCATGCAGCTTTCAGCAACAGGGCCCTTTCTGCATGTAATGCTGTTTGCAGCAGAAACTAGTGGCTCACCATATGTTTAGTCTTGTTGGAGCTGGGGATGCTTTGCCTACTAATGCAGCTACCCCATGTGTAGTGGGTGTTTTTTCCAGCATTTACAATTGCCAGTATTTTGAGGTGCCCCTGAAAATAAAACTGAATAAAATCATAGTAAAAACTACTTTGTACCTTCAATCTTGCCAGCTGAATTTTTCACTAAGGGCAAGGAAATGCATGAAGTGTGTTTCAGGCAGAAACTTTCCCCCTTTTGACATTCTCTGTTTCTGTTTTTTTTTAGACTGAGATCAGTGAAGATGACATCGAACCCAGCTTTAAAAAGCTTTTTGGGCAGCTAGCAGGAAATGTGAGTGTTTTTCTGGTAGTATCTTACTGGCATCCTGGTGAGTGGGTGTCACATTTTATGAAAAATCCCTTTGCCCAGGATTTTTCTCCTGGGAAGCTGAAAAGCCTCAGAGAAAAGGAAAAAAATTCTTATCTCATTTGTTTCTCCTGTGTTTTGCTCCTTTGGAATGTGTTTGGAGATGGTTTCCCCACAGGTGATTGTTTCATTGGATTTCTGGTGTGAGTTGTTTTGACTCTTAGGCAAATTGGGGCCAAGCTGTGTCAGGGCTCTGGAGAGAGTGACGAGTTTTCATTATTATCTTTTTAGCATTCTGTAAGTATCCTTTCTGTATCCTTTAGTATAATATAGCATAGTATTCTTTAATGTAATATAGTATCATAAAATAATAAATTAGCCTTCTGAGAACATGGAGTCAAACTCATCATTCCTTCCTGCAATGGGGGACCCTGCAAATACAATAAGCGGGTAAGAGATGCCTCCCCCAGGACAGAGGTTAGTTCTTGTGCAGAGTCACCTCTCAAGTGTGAGCACAATTGTGCAACCCAGAACCTGTGCAGTCACCCACCTTCTCCCACAGAGGATTTCTGAGCACTCCTGGGGAACAATCTCTGCTCCTTTTGAACTGTGGGCTTAGCTTTTATCTGCAGAGCCCAAATTCTGTCCTTGGGCAGAGCATATGGCTGGGCTGGGCTTCTCCCCAGGCTGCTCTTGCCTTGGGCACACCTTGCTGCTGGGTGTGCTAATCTCTATTGGATTTGCAGGGATCCCCATGGCAGGGAGGAATGATGAATTTGACTTCATGCTCTCAGAAGACTAATTTATTGTTTTATAATACTATACTATATTAAAGAATACTATACTATATTAAAGAATACTATACTATACTATACTATACTATACTAAAGAATACAGAAAGGATAGTTACAGAAGGCTAAAAAGATAATAATGAACACTCGTGACTCTCTCCAGAGTCCCAACACAGCTTGGCCCCAGTTGGCCAAAGAGTCAAAACAACTCACAGCAGAACCCAATGAAACAATCACCTGTGGGTAAGCAATCTCCAAACACAATCCAGATGAGCAAAACACAAGAGAAGCAAATGAGATAAGAATTATTTTCCTTTTTCTCTGAGGCTTTTCAGCTTCCCAGGAGAAAAATCCTGGGCAAAGGGATTTTTCAGAGAATATGAATGCCACAAATCTCTGGGAACTGGTGGTGCTCCTGGGAATGGGAGGTGGGGAGAGCTTCCCACTTGATTCCATTCAAGGGAGCTGATCTCGAAGGGGTGTTAGAAATTGGCCAGCTTACCTGGAGGAGCTCAGGGTGAGAAATTTGTTTCCTCTTTTCCACAGGATGCAGAGATCTCTGCCTTCGAACTGCGCAGCATCTTGAATAAAATCCTGGCTAAACGTGAGTCCTTCCTCCACCAGCACCTTCAGATGCCACCAGCAGGTTTCCACAGTGGCCGTGGGGGCACAGAGGGCACTGCTGACCTGGGCAGGGTCAGAGCTGGGCTCTGCCCCAGACCTGCTGCCTGGTTCTCCATATGGCCACGGCCACGTGCTCTCTCTGCTGCTTCAGGGGCTGCAGAAACACAGAAACACTGGGGCTGTGCCAGCCCAGGAGGTGTCTCACAAGCTGTGGGCTTTGGCAGGGTACAGATGGGTGTCTTTTATCCCAGCATCTGCCACTGGGAATTGGCTGCCAGGAAGAGGGATGGATTTGAATAATCCATGATAATAATCAAGAGAGATATTGCTGCTGTTTTAATACTTGGCTTCATCTTCAGCCTTTCATGAAGCCACCTCCTGCTGACCCTCCTAAGCTGCAGGTCCACGTTGCCCACAGAAGTCCACTTTGCAGGCAGACAGGAGGAGCAGGAAAGCTTTTGTCTCTGTCTCTTGCTCCTGCAGCACACTTACAGACCAGACTACTCAGGCTGTTTGCTTGGGGACACATCCCAGCTCAAAGGATGGCACCATTGGAAGCAAATAAAAGCTGGTTTTTTCATGAGCTATTTAGGAAGGTGCTGTGGTACAGCATGCAGTGATAATCCTGTCTTTTGCTCTTTCTTTACAGGCCAAGATATTAAATCTGATGGCTTTAGTATTGAGACATGCAAAATAATGGTTGACCTGTTAGATGTATCCTTTAAAGCTCTTCCTAGATGACATTCCCCTGACTGTGCTGAAGCAGGCTGGCTGCCCCTGCTCCCTGGTGGGTCCATCCTGGAGTACTAATGGCTCCTGAGGTGGAGAAGCTGGCTTTACCCTGATTCCCCTGGGAAAGCCACTCCCTTGTCATTGTTGTTCAGAGGTGTGTTATCCCAGGCAGTGGGAAAATCCATTATCAAACAAAGTCTGCTTGGAAGCCTTCCCAGTTGTTGGGTGTTCTGGTTTAGCTGGGGACAAGGTGATGTCTGTGCTGGGAAAAGGCTCTCAGAATGGTGAGGATGGCCTGGGTTGTTTCACCTCTCTGTTATCTGGCTGGAGTTGGTAAGAGCATCACAAAGCCACAGGGACTTAGCAAATGGAAAATAAGGGACACAAATATAGTGCTTTGTTTTGACATGCCACACAGGAAGCAGAGAATATGCAGGATTTTAGGAGCTTTTACTCCAAACATCCAGGCAAAAGCGTAGGATGAAGGATCAGGTCTAAGAATAGTTGTGTTCAGCTTCTCTGTGCAGTGGGAGTTGAATTGCAGAGTTGGAAAAAGGGAAAATTACCAATACAAGGGGATACTTTTCTATAATTTGGTGTAAAATACAGCAGTCCATAGGCACTCCATGGCAGGTGTTGGGAGCAGTGCCATGCCCAGGTTCTTTTGTTAGCTGTTTGCTCAGGAGCTGAATGTCTCCAAATAGCAGGCTTGGCTGTGGCTTTTCCTGTTTATAACCCAGCCCCAGGACTTGTGCTCCAGTAACTGCAGGTGTTGAACCCACTGTGCAGAACAAAATGGAATCATCCTGCCTCGTTCATACTTGTAGTGGAAAGACAGAGATCTGCAGCAGGGGTGCAGAAAGAGCTTGTGAGCTGATCATGACTTAAATTAATGATCTTAATGATTTAGAAGGATAGCTTGGACAACAATTGTGTATTCAGCAGGTTGAGTCCTGGAGAGAGGATGAGTCCTTCAGAGAGGACTTGAATCCCTCTTCTGTTTGCAATTTTTTTTAAGCCATAACTGCCCATGCAGGTAAACCCAGCAGAGGGAGAGGAAACCCCTTTTTGTTCCCTCTGAACCAACTTCCTTAACTCTGAGAAGAATGATGGGAGTGGCAAACTGGGACTGAAGGAGTTCCACACCCTCTGGACAAAGATTCAGAAATACCAGGTAAAGCACAACCCCTCTGGGAGAACAATCACACCTAGAAGTGACTGTAGACTGATTTGTACCATACAATGTGCACAGTCACCTTTCCCAGAGCAGGGACTGTGTGTCTGTATCCCCCCAGATTTTGTCTTTATCTGCTCTGGCTACTGTGTTAAAAAACCTTACTTTTTAAAGTCACTTTTAGAAGAAATGGATGTAAGTACCAAGTCTTTCAGATCAATGTTGCAAAGTGCTTCAAGGCTGCATTTCAAAATGTTTCGCTTCTGCCAGAGGCCAAACCATGCTCTGCATTATTATAAAGGTTTTCCTTTGGGTTTTGTGCTTTGCAGAAAATTTACAGAGAAATTGATGTGGATCGATCGGGTACCATGAACTCGTATGAGATGAGGAGGGCACTGGAAACAGCAGGTATTTATATTGATCTGTCTCTTCTTCTTCTCTTCTCTTATAGAATTCCATCAGTTTCAAGCAGGGTTGAGAGATGCTCAGAGCCATACAGTCCCATCTGAAATTACTGAATTTTGGGCACTCTGGAGCCTTCCCCTCCTGCCACCAGGCAGGATTGAGAATTTCATTTTGTACCTGTGTTTATTCTTTGGAAATCGTCTTTAATAGTCTTTAAGAGTCTTTGAAATCCTTGGCATTGTATTTCCAGGGTTCAAACTGAACTGCCAGTTACATCAGGTCATCGTGGCTCGTTTTGCTGATGAGGATCTCGTCATTGACTTTGACAACTTCGTGCGCTGTTTGATTCGGCTCGAAACCTTGTTCAGTGAGTGCACCCTCAGAAACCAGGCAGGCTCTGTTGCCTTGGGGTTCCAGCAGGAAAACTGTCCATGAAGCCCAGGATAAGGTGCTCAGACAAATTCAAACCTGAGATGTTAATCTGGCTTCTCTTAGATCCAGGAATCAAATCTTTTAGGCCAGGCTGCTGAACCATAGATGGTCTTCCCTGTAAGCAACTCTTATATTGATTAAAAAATTAAAAAATACTAGACAGCAATTAAAAATGTTCAGTCTTGCTCCTGCACAATGACTTTGTCTGATTTGGGGTGTAGGCCATTGTCAAGTTTTAGATTCTGAGACTAAATTCTCATTGATCCTGAAGTGCAAGGAAAGGGAAGACTTTCAAATTCCTGTATTTACTGTTGTCTGTCATCTCTCTCCAACCACAGAAATGTTTAGAAAACTGGATACTGAGAAAAGTGGGACAATAGAATTGAACCTTGTTAATGTAAGTTCATTTAGCTCTAAAACATTTGTTTTCATTTTTTGGGGGGGACGGGGAAATGGTGTGGGGGGAATGTAGAGTCTGTCCTGCTCCATTCTGACTGAGGATGGCTGGTTTTAAGTACTCACATTTGTGCTGGATTTACCTACAGAAGCAGCCATAGAGAGGTTACCTTTTAAAAATGTACCTACATCACAACATATTCTCTAACAGACACAGTTACTTGCACCAGAAGCCCTTGAAACCTCTGCTGGCAGTAATTTTGGCTTCTTCCCTGCTTTTTCTGTCCACAAACCAAAATATAGGTGCACTTGTGTAGGCAAGACTGACAGTCTTGCTCACATCTGCTTCTTTCTGCCTTTCATGTGTGCCCTGTAGAAAGGACTAAGTTTGGAGAAAAGTAGCCTGCTATGTGTGTCTGACTTGCTTATTACCTGAGCATAACTTTTTTCTGAACTTGAGAATCCCAAAACTCTGATTTTAGTGAAATATAAATTTAAATCACTCAGGAAAGATTCTAAAATTACTTCTGTAACAACAGGCTGACTGTATGCTAGAAATGCAACTATGCATGCTTGCTACAGGTCTTTTTACTAAATTTAACCTTGTTTTCCTCTCTCTCTTATTGTTACAGTGGCTGTGCTTCACTGTCATTTGAGCCACAGGCAGCAGTGTGAGACCTCAACAAGAGCATGGTCAGGTGAAGATAATCAAGCTACATACAAGTAATATGCAAACATGAATGTGCCTTAACTTACACAAAGCAAGCAGATTCTGCATGCAATTGCAAGAAGAAAAGCATTCTACTTCCACAGAAGAACCTGCAACCTCATTTTTATGGGTCTGACAGTCTGTGCCTACTACCATACAGCCTCTGGACAAAGGCTTTAATTTAGTATCAATCCTCAGTGCAAGCTTTGGAAACACTGCTTTGCTAATATCTTTGTATTTAAGGCATTTTATAGGACTTCAGGAAGAAAAGCTCATTATAGCTCAACAATCTGGTTTTAAAAAATGCTTTTTGAACAACATCCTGCATATCTGAAATTAGTAAAGAGATAGTAACGCATATCTAAACACCTGTACTCAGAGATAGGGGTTCCAAGCTCCAGCACTATCCTAGTTAAATATTCTTTAGAGAATTTGAGTAGCAAGTACATCTTTGACCAAAGTGAGCATTGATGTGCCTGGAGCAGGAGGCTGTTGCCAACAAGATTTTTCCAAGAGAAAGCCCATGCTTTCAGGTGGAATCTTGAATTCCTGTATCTTATTTATCTTCCTTTGCAATACAATAAAGTATTTAAATACTAAAAAAAAAAAAAAAAAAAATAAAAAAAAAATTTTCCCACTTTTTTTTTTTTGAAAAAAAACCCTTTTTTTTTTTTTTTTTTTTTTTTTTTCTTAAGAGATAGATCATCACAGTGCCCATGCAGAGCCTTTTGCTTTGAGGAACAGAAGTTGCTGCCCTTTAAAGGGGAAAACCAGCATGCTGGAGCTGATTGTGGATGTGTGGCAGTTACTGAAATGTTAGATAAGCTGATACTTTTAAAGATTCATACTTGAACAGCCAAAGGTTTCTAAGATAGATAACTGATAGTACATACCCCACAGTCAATGCTGCTGCCTTTAGCTTCCCCACCTGAGGAACTGTGGGGAAATTTCTTCCTTAGAAACTATTTCTTCCTTATGGACACCTTTTCAGAAAGCAGTAGGACTTACCTAGTAGGGTAAGGCACTTTCTAAATACCCTTAAGGAATTATCTGCTCCTCTGTTAAATACTGTTCAGTATCAAATTATTGCCAAATAAAAAGATAGAAAGGACAGCTC